CCAAATCGGAAAATCCTAATGGGCACCGCCGGAGAACCCGTCGATATCGTAACCGACCCGGAACCAGGACCCGAGACTTCTCTTATCCGATCAACTCCCAAAGAACCTTCAGATTCCTTCCACTTCGCTTACATCATCTACTTCACACTCGGCGTTGGATTTCTTCTTCCATGGAACGCTTTCATCACCGCCGTAGATTACTTCTCTTACCTGTACCCTTCAACCGCCGTTGATCGGATCTTCGCCGTTGTTTACATGCTCGTCGGTCTCATCTGTCTTCTCGTCATCATCATCTTCTATGCTCATAAGAGTCTCGCTAGCTTCAGAATCAATCTCGGACTCTTACTCTTTGTAATCGCTTTGCTTGTTGTTCCTATTTTGGATCTAGTTTACGTCAAAGGTCAAGTCGGTTTATATGCCGGATTCGATATCACTTCCGGTGCCGTTGCTCTCTCCGGTCTCGCCGATGCACTTATGCAAGGTGGTTTAATCGGTGTTGCTGGTGAAATGCCTGAGAGGTATATGCAAGCTGTTGTCGCCGGAACTGCTGGCTCCGGTAAGTGTACTTCTTATCGGAAAAAATGCTGATTGGTTTTGTAGTGTTGGATTAACTTAGAAGGTTACTTTTGAATGTGTAGGTGTTCTTGTTTCGTTATTGAGAATCTTGACTAAAGCTGTGTATCCTCAAGATCCTGATGGGTTAAGGAAAAGTGCGAATCTTTATTTTGCTGTGGGAATTGTTGTTATGGTGATTTGTACTGTGTTCTACAACGTAGCGCATAGATTACCGGTGATTAAGTACCATGAAGAGATCAAGAATGAAGCATTGATCAAAGAGAGTCAAGAGAAAGGTTCTTTAACCGGACCGGTGTGGAGGAAAACTCTCTGGAAGATCGTGAAGAGAGTTAAATCTCATGGTTTTGGGATCGTTCTATTGTACGTTGTGACATTGTCGATATTTCCTGGTTTCATTACCGAGGATGTTCATTCAGAGCTTCTTGAAGATTGGTACCCTATTCTACTCATTGCAGCGTACAACGTGTTTGATTTGGTCGGGAAGTCTTTGACCGCTCTTTTCTTGCTGGAGGATGAGAAAATTGCTGTTGGTGGTTGCATTGCTAGGCTATTGTTTTACCCTCTCTTCTGGGGTTGCTTGCACGGTCCGATGTTTCTCAGGACCGAGATTCCTGTAGCTATATTGACATGCTTATTGGGACTCACCAACGGGTACTTGACGAGTGTCTTGATGATTTTGGCTCCGAAATCGGTTCCATTGCACCAGTCAGAGACCGCAGGTATCGTCATTGTGTTGTTCTTGGTTATTGGTTTGGCCTCAGGGTCTGTCTTGGCTTGGTTCTGGGTCATCTGATTCTACCAAAGCTTTGTATCTGTATTTGTATTCTTTGAGCTTCCGCAAAAACTAAGCTTCATTAATTTGTGAATCGTTTGTGTTTTACTTCAGTAAAGTTCTTATCATACCTTTTTTACACCAAGAACTCAATAGACTTTAAGCTGAAAGCAGAAAAAGCTACAACGTGGGTTCAGTAATCTCATTAAGGTAAGTGTAATGAAGCTTCAAGGATTCTTCGATTTAATTCTGAGCTTTCGAGTGATCTTTGATGCTTTTGGATGGACTGTACGTTTCTTGTTGTTGCTATCAGACTGTTCCACTTCAACCCAATTTAAAACTTTGAGAATCATAGATTGTGGAACCTTCTTAACGTCTGCATCATCAGGGCCTTTAGATTTCTTCATACCTTTCTCCAAAGCCATTTCGATGAACTCCATGAACCAGTTTCCAGCTTCGTCCTCAATCTCTTTTGCCAACCTAATCGTGTTGCCTATCCCACCACAAGCTGGATTCTTGTTCTCATCATTTGATCTCAATGTCTTCACTTCACTCTGCTGCTGCTTCAAGATAATCCGCCTCTTTGATCTGCTTTTCTCCTGATCAATAGAATTATGCGCGATTTCATGCAGTATCGAAGACTCATCTTCTTTTGGCTTCTGATTTTCGGTTCTTGTGAATGTGTTTTGTGACATGCTCGTAGTATCTGAAATAGCTGCTTCAATGGATGCGATTTCGGTTATGGTTTGTGCTATCTGTTGGTGAAACTCCATGAATTTCTCAAAACACGCCGCCGGGCAATCAGCTTTCGCTGATTTGCTTAGATTGGCAAATGTCCTGTCCCAAGAAAACCGCATCACAAAATCACATTCCAACTCAAACCCGATAAAAAAAAACCGTACAAAAGAAGAAGTTTTGTTTATATACTTGAGATGACGAACAACAGTTTCCGTAGCTGTGGCCTCTCGCAATGCCTGAAGGGCAATCTTCTGAGCTGTTTCCCGAAGCTGAGTTGCTTCCTGTCACCAAAGTAACACCAAAGAAGAATTGAGTAACTATCCAACCTCAAGAAATCACTGAGCCATAAGAACGCAAAATCGAGTTTAAATTACCTTGCTTAATGTGTTGAGCCTTCCTGGTAGATTGGTATTTTTCTCGGTTTTTATCAGCTTACTAAGCTGAGATTCATGTCTTAAGGAAACCGTCTTCTTCGAGGTGGACAAAGGAACAACATCTTCATGAGCCTCTGCAATCAAGAAACAAGCTATGTCTTGAACAAACCATTACATACACTATACGATCAATAGAATGTTAGAAGCAACGAAGAACAAGAAATGTACCTACAAAGGATTTGAAAGGACTAATAAGAACAGAAGCTGATGCATTGTTCCTTTTAGCATCTCTATCACAAACACTTTTACTTCTCGGAAACTTCGAAGCCGAAGACGGAACAACACAACTCTTCCTCAGCATCGCCGGACTCTCACCTTCCATTTTCCCCAAAACTCCTCCACCAAAAGAGCATCTCACAGCGCCTCTTCTGATCGGAGACGCCGCGAATCTCGCTGAAGCTAACCTCTTCGCCGGCGTAGAATGGTCGAAATCCAAAGGCACATATTTCATAACAAAAGGAGAAGTAAAGTCGCTGTTTTGTCCCCAAGAACCTCTTCTTGGCTTCGAACCAGGTTCTTGTTCGGATTTTCCTTTCGGACCCATCAACGGTTCCGGTGTCCCGAGTAACGGGTGCCTCCCAGGGATTGGCTTTGCGCCTTTGATGATCGGAACAGGGGATCCTGGCTCGAGCCGATCGACGTAGATAAACTGACCAAGCTGCATCTTGTTGCTTAGAACGACGTCGTCTTGGTCCGAAGGAAGTGTGACGTAGATTGAGTGAGATGAATCGGAGACTTTGATGAGAAACCCTTGTTTCGGGACTAGATTCTTCTCGTCGAGATCGATGGGTACAATATCTGTGACTTGTAACATAGAGCTCCGGTGTTCTCTCGTCGGTTTGATTCCTGTTTTCATACCGTCGATTAGCTTTTGAAGAATTCCGGGAGCCAAAGCCGCCATTTTTGGTCGGGATTTTAGATCAAGAACTGTGATTGAGACGATTCGATTCTGAAATTCAAGAATTGGGTTTCGTTGAGCTGAGCAATTTCAGATGATCTTAAGGATTTTTCCGTTGCTAAGGAGGAGCCAACGGGTAGAAGAAGGGAAAAAGATAAAAGAGTAAACTTTTTGAAAAAAAAAGAAATGATTTGGTTTTTTGGAACGTTGCAACGGTCGAAATTGCTGGTAGATCTGTATTGTAACTATTCTATTTGAATTTATCTGATTATTCTTATATCCGTGATCATTGTATAACCAAGCATTGAATGTGACGCTGAGTTGGGTCATTTGATGGGTAATTAAACCAGCTCTACTATATTGCATTTGGTAGATGATTGTGGATAGTTGGTGTAACCAGTAAACATAACCAATAACCAATGCAATATAACTCTAATCTGTTGCATTTGGTAGTTGACTCTGGTTAGTTGGTGTAGCCACTAAACATTGGGAAATGGTTGGGTCAGTCACTTTTAAGTCGCTAAATAAGAAAAAACTTTAGCAAAGTGAGTAGTTTATTTCCAGGCAGAAGTGTTTTAAGGTAATGGAATCATCAATTGAAGATGAAAATTGTATACACAAACAGAACAAAGGAGCCCTTAGAAGAAGATCTCTGTTTCTATCGCTGCTCTAATATCTTAAACCTCTTGGAATAACTGCAAAATACTGATGAAATGAAACAAGCTTCATGGAACCTAACATCCGGAAACAAGGCCATGTTATAGTGTTGTTGCAAATCCTGAAAATATCAAAATGCAAACACTGATTAGTCAATGTGCAAATAGTCCACTGATTCACAATGTTTCTTTGATATGAATCAACACATCATTTTACTACAATTGGATAAGGTTCCACTCTCTTCAGTCAATGGCAAAGAAAAAAGGAAAGTGATCGTTCGAAAAGACAGATACGCAGTGATAGGTCCTCACACAATGGATCCATAGTATGATAAAGAACAATTTAGTCCAACTCAATGCACTTCTGCCACTTTGTAGTGGTAAAACATGCGAAGGAAAATAATGATTTTGTAGAAAGCCGATCAGCTGTTATTACAAAACTGGAATACTAGTATTAGCAATGTCAATAAAGATCATTTGTGGAATCCTTATATACCAATTGAGATCTTATCGTATGGAAAACGAATGCACAATACGCTTCAATCTAAACCTACATCAGCTGTGGTTTGATCTTTCCTCATTTTCAATCATAAACCCAATTCATTGGACCAAAATGCTAATCACAAACAATTTGGTGAAAACAAGGGCATAGTTAGATAATGAACAACAAGTAAAATACCTTCTGATAGACAACCCCAGCTTTGATTGCTCAGAGATAGCAATGAAGTGAGCAAAGCTGAAGCAGTAACACTATGTAAAGGTACAAGTGAAATCCCTGCACTCAATTCAACAGGAACCCTGAACACAAACCAAAAAAAAAATACATTTTCATCAATTTCGTGCGAGATGAAAATATCCAGGCAGAGATAAACCCTAATTGCATAATCAAACAGATCTAATCCCAATATGGTTTAAATCACCTAAGGAAGAAGGTTTTATACATTTCGTTCCAGGATTCGGGAGCTAACCTGGAGAATGTCAACCTGCGAAGTGAGGAGCGAGATGAAGAAGATGATCCATTCTCGAAAGCAATTCCTGCGGATTTTCCGATCTTCGAAGCAGAAGATGTCGCCGATGAACGACCGAAGAGTATTCTCCCGGACGACGACGATAACTGAAGAGCCCTTCTTACGCCGGTGGCCGCCATGTCTACTTTCTCTCTCTCTCTGACTCAGAAAATCTTCGACGACATTTTGTGATTTAGAAAGGTGGGGGTTTAAGTTCGGGTCGGGTCGGATCTCGAATTGGTTGGATCCATCACAAGCCTAATTCGGCCCATACCGCAAACCAACCTAATTGGTCCATAGATAGTCGGCCTGGACACA